CACACACACACACACACACACACACACACACACACACACACACACACACACACAGGGCTGTCCTTGACAGTTGCTGCTGGTAACCCGAGGCTCTTAGCTATGGTGTGTGAGGGGCACTGTGATCAACATGCACACACATGCAGGGTATGTTGCGAGCCTCAAAAGAAAGCAGAACAACTGTCTTTTGCAAAGAAAAACCCCTAAAGTGCAGATTTTTCCTGACTGTCCATGCAGTCACGTGACCTGCCTCTCACCTGCAGAGGACTAGGTGTGATTTCAAAGTCCTTCAAACCCCCAAGAAACAGTGGTGGGTTGTAGGGCAGGTTTCAAAAAGCAGAATCAGTGTTCCTGTTTTCCGACTGCCATGAATGGGACAGATACTGTACATAATACTGATTTATTTAAGGGACTTCACTGTGGTGGTTAGCACCGTTGCCTCATAACAGGAGGGTTCCTGGCTTGACTCCCCAGGGGGCTGTGAGCTCTGTGTGTGGAGTTTGCATGTTCTCCCTGTGTATGCATGGGTTCTCCAGGTATTCCCCGGCTTCCTCCCACAGTACTAAAGCATGCATGTTATTTAGGACTCCAAATTTCTGGTTCTTGGAGTGAATGTGAGTTGCCCGTTTCTATGTGGCCCTGTGAGGGACTGGCAACCTGTCTAGAGTGTACCCTGCCATGTTATCTGGGATATAGAACTCTATTTCCTTTTTTCTGACGTTTCCACCTTCCAATAGTTTTGGTTAAATATTGCTAAGACAGAACAAAACAGCCATATGTGTCCACTTGGTCTCTTTAGGCCCAGATGAAGAACAACACCCAGACATCTAACTGGCAACACATTTGGAAGTCTATAGATTTTCTGGAAACCAGATGCCTGCCTCAGTCTGTGTTTGTGTGTATAAAGGAAGTATGGGCTGGTACTTTAATTATGCATCTGTTTGGTTGTAATTGTGTCTTTGTGATTGGTCATTACCTCAAATAACACTCATTGGAGAAACAAGACTTAGACCTCAAACCACCTAGATTGCATCACACACAACACACGAAACAGGAACCACATCATGGGTTCAAATCCCCCACTGAGAAGATTTGCCCAAGGAGCCTGTAGTGTTTTGCAGGGTTTTTTCCTCTTTTCTTATTGTTTTTCTTGAACCACCATCTGAAAAACCTAAGACATAAGTCTCCTCAAAGACAAGTAATGTCAATGTTAAAAAAAAAGACTGAGATGGAATCCAGAGAGAAGAAAAAGCGCACAAAGAGAGAAACAGTGAAGAATGAAAAAGCGCCATATGCTTCCTTTCGTCCTAGTTCATCTGGCTCTGATCAAAGATACACACTGAATACTCTCCCCTGATGTCAGACACACACACATACACGCACACACGTGGATTTACCTAAATGAATCCTTAGTTTCAATGTCAGAGTGAAGAAGGCTTACGGACATATATAGACATGTGCTCATCATCTCCTTATAGGAATGTGAGCAGAGACCACAGCTCTCCTCTCATCTAAACACCTCAGATGAAACACTCACTTCTCTTAAGGACCAGCAAAAGGATTCTTTCACATAAAGCTTTTCTCAAGGCCTATGACAATATTTGTCCATGACGGGGTTCAAAGTCTTGGCGAAGAGCTTCACATCACTGTAAGTGGCTCTGTGATCTGTTATTGTTGGATGTCACATCATATAGGGACTTTGATTTTGGAGAACAAAGAGCGAACAAAGGGTGAAATGCCAAACCTGACATGGATGTACAAAACAATAACAGACAAGTTTGGAGACATTAATCAGCAAAGCAACAGTTCAATTATGTCCAGTTCAATTAGTTGCAAGCAGTGGAAATCACATTCAGCAAAAGAGTTAGTTCAGCTTTCACAATTCTTTGTTTTTCTTTCTTTCTTTTCACATACTTGCACAGCACTTTCACTCTTCTACAGCACATCTATGACCTTACTGGTGCTTTCTGTACACAGCACGTATGATGCTTTGAAATATGCCCCATATGGGCCAGGAGTCGATCCACCAACCTTCCAACTGGTACAGCTGCCTGAGCTACAGCCACCCCAAAATCATTGCACTTGAGAGAGTTTCAGTTTCCTTGGAGGAACAGCCAAACTTCTCATTAGAAAGTAGTTCAATTGAAAAGTGACAAGTCACTTAATCAGTCTTACAATTAATATAATTTGCTGGCCAATTTCATTTACATTGTTATGATCGTTTCATGTGGTCAGAGTAAAGGAAAGCAAATTACTGTTTAGAGAATAAGGGATATATATGGGAGTGTTTTGTTTTCAAAGATTATCTATATTCAAGGTTATTTTTCCAAAAAGGAGGAAAAAATCCATGAAAAAAATGTCAATTAACTCTACTAATAAGATGAACGACAGGTAAAAGGCTGTTTCATTGGTAAAAAAAAAACACTGTACTCTTAAAGCTGTTGAGGCTGCATTCAGAGTCTTTAACCTGAAATGCATCCTCAAAAAGAGTTAGGAACATATTTGTACCAATGCCTCATAAACAACCTTGCAATATCTTTTTTAACTAACTAAACTTCAACAAATGTTGAATCTGTCAGGAAACAAAGACAAAGCATTGGATCTGGTAGCTTAACACACTTTGAGATGTTCAAGGGCAGAAAAGATCAATCAGAAATGTGGTTATCACTTCTACAGTGAATGTCAGCTGCAAAGAACCCCTCCGGACAGCATTCTGACCTGAAAACCTCACCTCAACAATTGTGCTCAGACTGTCAGTAAAATGGCCGCTGTCATCAATCACTGTACATTTTTTTTCTCCCAGTGTGCAGGCGAGCACCTTGTAGAGCAGCTCCTGCGCCATCGGGGTGTGAGCCCTTCATATATTATCAGGGGAAAGTGTCATTTCATGCTGAAACAGGCTAATAAGCATTTCACAGAACGCACAGCTCCTCTGGAACGCAACGGAAGGAGATCTGATTTTGTTATTTAAACACACAAAAAAAACAGAATTAATTCTGACAAGGTGACAAGAGTTAAGAGAGGGCAATTATTTCAGTCCACGAGGAGACAGCCATTTCACAGGAATCCAGTCATTAGCTGTTGGAATAAAAGAGGTAGGTAAACACATATACTGACATTGCCTCCCATTATTTTCTAAATCTCACACTACTTCCTGCAGTAACACACTGCACAGAAATTCTATCCTGTCAAATGCTGGCAGCATGCACAGAGAGCTTCTGATCGTATCCTCCTGATTAGGACTGGGACAGTATCAAGCCATAGTTGGATGGACAATAATTACAGCGCTAACCTCATAACCACTTGAATTCTTTGGGAGCAATAAACCACATGGGTCAGATTGATGGCCACTTATCATACACAGAGAGGCAGTCAGATCAGTGTCTGAAACCCCTCCGGGCCAGATCGTGACATACTCGATCGTAACCTGACCACATAGCTCTGAGGTCCAAAATCATCATTCAGACACAGCAAAACCTACTGACAGCCAGGTATGTGACTGAGATTTGATCATCCGTGCAATACCAAAACTGAAGATAGTTTAATAATGATTTTAATGCCAGAGTTTGAATGGCAACTGAAGATTAACAAAACAGAGAAAAGAGATTAAAACACTGATTTAAAAAAAAACATATAGTGCATACGTCACTCTTTAGAAAAAAGGCTATTTTCTAATAACGCTCATTTACACCTTGAGAGATGCTCCAGGGTTCACATCCTGAGTTAGACTGAAGGTACTGCTGAGGGTCAAGAGGTCATTAGTCACTTCAGTAATGACCTCCACAGACAGGGTGATGTTTGAACATGCACATGGTATTACTTCTGATGAGCGTGGACATGATATTACTGTCAACTTTTGATAGCCTTTGAAATGTACAATTTCCAGAGCATGATTGACCTTTAACACACAGAGAGTTAAAGTTACAAGGACATGCCAAAAGTACTTTTTTTGGCTTTGCATAAAAGCTAAAACAAATTTTAAAAAAGTATATCATAAGAAGAAAATGTAGAGACTTATTCCAAGGGAGTGCAGCTCTTTACAGAGCTTCTTTGCTCTTTTTGATATGCAGATGAAAAAGAGAGAAGAAGAAGCAGTCTGCGCATGCTGAGGGTATGGCGTAGGGTGATGACTGTTTAGTTATGGCGTCCAAACCAAACAGAGGTTCTGAAGGCCTGTTTTGAACACTGTCATCTCATGCTATGTTATCTACAAATGGACCTTCTTGACGTTCATCCAGTATTCAAATAGTGTTCGTAATAAGATAAGGATTAACTTTTTATGACTATGCTTCTGTGAACCAATCTGATTTATTATGTTCTTTTTTAACAGTGTTCTTCAGGTTTCTTTTATGAATTAAAAGTAGGTGAGACAAGTCAACATGTGGCAGCACTCTTGATTTCTAAGCTGATAAACATCACCAACACCAGCCTCTAACAGCTATAGAAGATTAAAGTCCTCCTCTGCTTCCAGTAGAGCTCCAGGGGTTGGTGTGTATATAACCAGGCATCCCCTGCGCTCAACACAGCTCACTTTAATTTGCCCGAGTCTGTTACCCAGCTGCAGAAGAGAAATATCCTGCAAGCTGCAGTGTGAGGACACAGTGATGCAGCAGGTATGGCTGAACAAGTCCAGACAAATAAACTTATGCCTTTAGAAATTATAGCAAATGTGCAGTGGGCTCCTAGACACCAGAGAAGGGTAGCTCAGTTCAATAAGCTTTAGGCTTACATGATCTGGCATGACTAAATCATAGAAGGCTTCTTTTTTTTTTTTTTTTAAAGCTTCTGTTGAAGAGCCAGACAGGCTTTTATAGAGCAGAGAGGTCTGGGGGATAAAGTCGGCACCTAACCAACCTGTAGCTGATGTTTCAACTAACAGGAAAAGCTTGCGGCATGTACAAATGTTTAAGAGTGTACAATTAAGTGGTTTAGAATAACAAGAACAATGACTTAAATGGCATAACCACACATATAAAGTTTACACATACCTAGAAGGCAGGTGGAGGCAAAATTATGCAATTCAATTAGAGGAGAGGACAGGGGTTATGAGCAACCAATCACATTTTCCACAAATCCTTTAAATGAATTAATCAGACACAAACTTAAAGAAAAAAACCTACCTGCTCTCGTGCTGTAGAAACATGTGACGAGCAGCAGCAGCCATGTCTCTCGAATTAAGATCCATTTATCCATCATATTGCATTTGCAACTGATTATGTGGCCCCCAATAAGTCCCCGATGCCTCTGCAGGACACGTGCAGTTGGAGGGATGTCAGCTCTTCTGCTCACTCTTTTCTGCTTCAAGAGTTTCCAAGTGCGTCTGGACAGCTGGGAATTAGGAGCCAATGCATGAAGGCTTGGTTAAAATATTGCCGAATGATACTCAGTCCTCCATTTCGTTTCCGAGCTGTTTTACCTATGAGAGGAAAGGGATGGAGGCGCCGGGCCAGCGGAACAAAAGGAAAAAAGAAAAACTCAAATGTAAAGGTGTCTGCGACTTCAGAGAACTTTCCTCACTTTCTCTCCCCCTCCCTCCTCCCTCCTCCTCACCGGGACAGGCCCTCCCTCCTCTGTGGGGCCGTGCTGAACCGTAATTACAGCACACGTCATTATTAGCGTAATTATTGCCTGAGTGATTTAAAGGGCTTTATAACGTCTCCATCCATCCCTTCCTCGCGCTCCCCCGTCATTAATGCGCTTGCGCGGACAGGAACCAACCGTCCGTGCTCGCGTTTTGTTTCAACTTGGCCTCGGAAGTTGCTCTTTATACGGGAGAAAAACAAGAAAAAACATTCAGAACCTCGGATGCGCGTGCGTCTCACTGTTAAGGGGGCGCGTGCCTACGCTCGTGAGCGCGCGCAGCATGCCAGGACAGGACAACGGTGCTGCCCAGCTAATAAAAATATGCTGCTGCAAATTCCAGTGCCTGTCTGTCTTTGCCCACCCCACACTCTCCTCAGACGCACGGTACATAGTTAATGCGCACGGTGGATGCTAAGACCTCATGTTTTTTTTTTACAGTTTACTCTACTTAATCTTCAAGTTGGAAAGGTCAAACGAAACCAAGAGCTCACTGAGAGGTTAAGAAACTCTTTACGAGCTTTTAGGATAGGTTTATGGGAGAAAGAGGTTGACAGAAAATGAGTGTGTGTCCTCTGTGTTTGCATGCACACACAAAGGAAGTTACCTTTTTTATAGCAGGTGCTACAAAATCTCCCACAATCAACAAAGGGTGTTTCTTTTTGTATTTGGACAAATGCTGATACTCTACTTTTTAATTTAATTTCATGTAAATATGAGGAAAATTACTTTTGAGGTTACATTGAGTCTCCCACAGCATTTAGCAGGAATCAGTTATCATATATGATAAAGAGATGCAGATATCTGTTGTTTTTTTTAATGTATTGAGACAGAGACTTAACTGTAGGTTACAAGATCAATTATTTAATAATCAATTCAATAACATAATGTGGTGTAAAATAACTATCTGAAGTTCATGTTTTGGTAAAGTGCCAGTTTGGTTGCAAAGTTAGTGAGTTTCAGACAGACATCGATTTTGACTGAAGGGATGAAAAGATTCCAGGCATACTTCTAAGTCTCTTATTTCTGCTTCTGTCTTAAACTTATGACTGCCAGCTACAATCAGCAGTCGAACTGTGTGAGTTATGTGTGAGACGGAAATTTATGACTTGCAGGTAGTTGTCTCATGATTTCAGCAGGTCACGATTGAGACGTTTTTCACTCTGATCCTTCCAAAAATAACACATACGATTCTCATGTTTTTCATGACCATCATAATCTGTCCTCGATCAAATGTGAAATAATCACTTTGAATTTAGATAACCTAATAAATAATAACATGGTTGACCACTAAGTGGCACCAAATCTTCCCACATGAGATACAGCAGACTTGACAATTCTTTCTATTTTTCTCTCTCTCTTTCTTCACTCTCAGGTTCAGTTTTGGTTTTCCAAAAGTAAACTGAGAAACCCTCGATAATATCTTTGTTTCCCCTCTCTATTGTATAAAAACCTACGAACCCACCACTGGACCGAGCTGCACGTTAGATAATCTCAATCTTGTTGCACTGTGGCTGTGCGCTCAGTCCATGTGACCGCTCTCTCTTTTATCCTCTTACGGTGGCTCTCACTTCAGATCCCTGCTCATCCTGCAGAGCTGCCAGTCTGTCAGACTCTCAGTTCGCCAACAAAGTGGGGAAGCACTGGAACCATGGTGAGCCCTGGACAGAAAGTGGTGCTGATCACCGGCTGCTCCTCTGGGATCGGCCTGCGGATGGCTGTGATGCTGGCCAAGGATGAGAAGAAGCGCTACCATGGCAAGTGTTGTGTATGCCTATGGAAGAGATGAGAGATTATATAAACTATTATGTAAACTGGCTTGTTTTGTGACCGAAAAGGTTATACATATTAGAAAGACTACAAACAGTAGACTGTTAGAATCTAGGAGAATGCAAACATTTTTGTAAATATAGGGATAATAACAGCATCCTATCCTCTGCTAACCTCTCAACTTTCCCAAAGTGAAACCATCATGACTGTGTGTAACAGTGTTACATGAGAAGTTATGGTGCACATGCGTGCACACGATTATGTAAAACAACAGCCTCTGTTTCAAAACATTTAATCTGCGATTGTGTGAGTTACCATTTTAAATCTCAAACAGATCCCCATAAAAAAATAGTCTGAATCACATTTTGCTACATAAACACTAGAGCAAACTTAATTTTTTTCAAATTTGCAATAAGGTAAATGGTCACCACGGAAACGATTTATTCTGAACCTCAGCCTCTGCTAGCAATGCCCATGTGGTTAAACTCACAGAGGCCGAATACTTAATGTTCCAGGGTCCAAAAAAATTGTTGTAGTAACATGTGTGCTAGCTGTATCACATCTGAATAACTCTCAAACAGCATTCAAGTCTGAATCATTCCCAGAAAACATTCTTCATTTTGATCAAGGAAACTTCTAAAAATATAGATTTATTTTGAAGAAATTAAATCGTTATTGCATAAGGCCTTGCACTTTCTAAACCTAATGCATGCTCTCCGAATTTCTCTGGGGATTCATCCCACAGTCCTAAAACATACATGTTAGATTATTTTGTTATTCTAGAGTGTTTATCTGCCTCATTGGGCTCTGTGTGACCCTGTGATGGACTGGCAACCTGCCGGGGATGTGTCCCACCTCCCACCCTCTCACTATTAATAAGCAATATAGAACAAAATCAATTAATGATCAGATGTATGGGTTAAATCGGGACGATTATCTCTAAATTTCATCCACTAAACACTGTACCAGTGTTTTATGGTAATTTAAACTGATGTTTAGCACTGCGCAATTATGCAAAACCCTCCATTTTGAAAGCTATCGCCCATTAAATCCCTTGCTGTTCAGTAATTTACTTATAGAAACATAAGTGGTCCATATTTTTAAGATCAGATTAAGCAGATCACTGTTAATTGAGATCACAGCCTTTGGCAGAATTAAAGATGTCTGGTGTAAAGAAAAGCCCCCCGATCACTACACCTACCTGTAGCCACATACAGTTATCCCTCTGATCCCAGTGTGGCCTTTAGGCTCTTAAGACAGTAGACAATAGTTAAAAGCAGCAGCACAGCCACACTTGGCCTAAATATTGCCTGGCTCAAAGAGCTTGATTTTGGATCACAGGCTGGACAGAACTATTCTTGGAGCATGGGGAAACACCACGTGAGCATAACGGCTAAGACTAATGCTAGAATGTAAAGTGGCTTCTGTAACAGGCTGCTTATGAGCACAGAGAGCTTCTTATGGTCTACTGTCTTTGGCACAAGAGTTCTCTTCAGTTACTTCAAAATGTTGTTAAGATACTCATTTTAGGTCATAAGACATCATGTCCATGTTCAGGTTAGGACATTGTTTTTTTTATAAATATATATTTATATATATGTTTAGTTTAGTTTTAGTTTATATATATATATATGTAGACAAACACAAATCTGTTGATGGGAAACAAGCATTTAGCTTTTGGCATTTTTTTAAATTCACAACATATACAAAGAGTGAAAGAAAAGATTGTTTGTGTACCCGTGTGTCATCCTAAATGAACTTAACTTGACCCTACATGTCTAACTGTATTCCTAAGCAGGCTGCCAAAATCTATTAATAGCATCTGCCCGAAGGGGATAGGTCAGAATTGAACTCCATTCACAAATGGGTGGCTGTCAGAAGCAAAACAAAATGAGGGAAATATGAATAGATAATAAAGAAAAGGGAGCCCTGTTCATAGATAGAAGCAACAGAAATACTCCATTTGTAGAAGGCAAACCACACTTCTATTTGTGGTTTTCAGCCTTTTAATTTTTTACTAACCTGGTGTTGCCAAATTCATTTCTGTCAAGGTCCTCACAGCTTTGATTGCCTCCCCTTGTCACAACTGTCCACAGTGATAGCAACAATGCGCGATCTGAAGCGTAAAGATAAGCTGGTGGAAGCTGCCGGGGATGCGTATGGAAAAACGCTCTCTCTGGCTGTCCTGGATGTCTGCAATGATCAGTCTGTCAAGCAGTGTATCGATGGCATCAAAGACCGGCATGTGGATGTCCTTAGTAAGTCACCAAAAAACACTCTATTAAGCTGTACTATTCAAATGATCTAGAATGTATTGTTGACAGCAGCATCTTTTATTTTCTTCCTTCTGGTACCAACCAGTCAACAATGCAGGAATCGGCCTGGTTGGGCCGCTGGAGAGCATCCCCATTGAGGAGATGAAGAAAGTTTTCGAGACCAATTTTTTTGGGGTGATCCGCATGATCAAGGAGGTGATGCCTGACATGAAGAAAAGGAGAGGAGGCCACATCATCGTGGTCAGCAGTGTGATGGGCCTGCAAGGTGAGCCGGAGCCAAATGCCACAGAGAGAAAGGACAGGATTTTAGTCCATCTAGCGTTAGTTTGATGAATGGATGAATGAAGAGACAAATGATAGACAGTGCCAGAACAATGTGGCACCACAAACCAAAATCGTCTTTTTTCTCCAGGGGTGGTCTTTAACGACGTCTATGCTGCCTCCAAGTTTGCCATGGAGGGCTTTTGTGAGTGTTTGGCTGTGCAGCTTTTGAAGTTTGACGTCACGTGAGTACATCTAATGTTACTTCTATCCGTATTAGATCAATGACAAATCAAAAGAGAATCTGAATGGTTCAGAAAAATTTAGCCCCAGAGATTTAGCCATGTTTAATGTTTTGATAACCAGAGCTGAAATATTTCAACAATTGAAAGCGATTTCAGTTGGATTTGATGGATCCTGAAACAGTGGGTACAGATGCTCTTTTATTTTCAGTTCCTGCCCCACTCTGTATTTCCTGTTAAAATACAGAACTGCCTCTGATTGCCCTGTATGAACAAGCAAAAGCAAATACTGGCATTCATTTTAGATTTAGTAGTAATCTTACAAAACTGTCTTCAGAACAGGTGGGGGAAAAGCTTTCTTTTCTCCCATGTGATTTGTGTTGTTCTCTACAGACTGTCAATGATTGAGCCGGGTCCGGTGCACACAGAATTTGAATTAAAGATGATTCAAGATGTGAAACAGAAGGAGTATCCTGGAGCTGATCCTGACACAGTGCATTACTTCAAGAATGTCTACCTCCCATCTTCTGTTGACATTTTTGAGGCCCTGGGACAAACACCAGATGACATCGCCAGAGTAAGTTCTCGTGTGCTGAGGTCTTTCTTTGCGACCACATCACGTAGCACTCCTTTAAGTCTGACGGCAAACCTTTGTGTATGTCATAAATGTCTTTGCAGTGCACCAAGAAAGTGATCGAAGCAAGCCGGCCACGTTTCCGTAACCTCACCAACCCGATGTACACTCCGATTGTTGCGCTGAAATACGCAGATGAAACCGGCGGCCTGTCCGTCCACGCTTTCTATCACATGCTCTTTAACCTGGGTCCTCTGATGCACGTCAGCATGACCGCCATGAAGTATCTCACCTGTGGATGTCTAAGAAGCAGGACAATTTCCCCAAACTAAAAGCAAAATGTTTTGCTTATCCATGTGGATAATAAAATGTGAATGTGTGGACTACACACTACTTTGGTTTTCAGAAGATCACAGAGATCATATAATGCCTGATGTCATGCTGCTAAACCCATCCGTTAAAAAATAAAAATAAGAAAAGTCCTAAAATTGAACCTGAACACCTTAATAAAGATCGTAGTCTTACTTGCCATTCTTCCTGCTGTAAACCTCAGATGTGATGTGTTCAACCATCCATTTTTTGCACACACTTAATCCAAATCAGGATTTCTGGGGGATCTAGATGATAAAGTAGTATGATCAGTCTTCAATGTGTAGACTGGATTTAAAAACCAAAAACTTTCAGATATGTTATCCTACCCAAAGTGCCAAATGAGTAGGGTCTGAAACAATGAGACAACATTAAAAAAACAGATCATTTCATCTCCATAAGCCCAAGACATCTTGCTTTAAACTATATTTTACTCTGAAATGTAGGTCCACTCTGGTCATTTGTAACATATTAATTTATGTACAAACTGTTAGAGTGTCTGGGAAATATTGTGACAGTAAAGTTTGTAAAATATACCTTCTTTTGGGTTTCAAGTAGTGATTATAAAATGTGGTTGTGTATTATAGTCGTAATGACGACAAAACAAATCCTAATTTACTAGAATGACAAGACTGAACTGTCAGTGGTTAAGTTAAACTCTGAGATCGAAATATCCAAACCTTGTGTGTTGAAGATGTTGAAGCTAAAGACAAAGTTATAAAACAGACATAATTTTCAGAAACTGTAGCCATGTTTTTAAAAACTTCTATTGAGAAAAAAATCTAAATTTTTCAGCATCTTGTTTTATCTCTGCAATCTGTGCTGTGAAAAGTCCCCAATATTTTTGCTTTTCATTTCAAGTAAAAGAAATGTATTGTGTGAACAAAAAAATAAATTAATTGATGTATGTGCGGGTGCGGTTAAACTTTGTACATTTTTCCGTATGCTTGTATATACATTATATATGTGAGAAGATTTTTACACCACCCTGGTAAAAGTTTAATAATTTCCTTTGTTGAAGGTTTTTCTCACTTTTCTAGATTTGGTTGTGGTTATTGAAACGTTTAAGTTATTTCAGTGCTGATTGATTTTGAATGTCATTACATTCAATAATAATTTCCTTTCAGTGTCGAAACAAAAAAATAACAGACAATAATAGTTTTTAAAAAAAACTTACTTTGATCGAGTCTTCCGGGATCTACTGGTGCTCCCTGTCCCGAGTCGCGGGAAACTAAAACTAAATCGATAACCGATTCAAAGATCGCTCACCGAAAACAAGTGGCTTCTGAAGTTTTTTTTTACGTGAAACGAACGAGAAATGAGAAGTAAGTTCACTTCCAGTTTTCCAAAATAGTTTTTCTGTGCATATGTTGAGCTGTCATTTTAGCTGTTACGGTAACACTACTCTCAAACTAATTTAACGGCAGCTAGCTAAATGGCAGATGCTAATGTTTTGCTTTTAACGCGTTAATAGACTGCGGACAAACGCAGATGCTGGGGTTACGTGTAAATGGTCATCTGTGAGCCGGGCAGGGATGACTGAGAAGCATGGACACCAATGTGGGCGACATTCTGCAGTGTGAGGAGCAGCTGAGGACCACACTGCATTGTGATGACAAAGAGAAGGTGATCTACTTATGTCTTCCACTTCAGCCAAGTGACAAGATTTTTGGTGTGTATGTGTGTGTTTTTTCTCTTCTGACATTCATGTTCTCCACACACAGCTTCGTAAGACGTTGGCAGAGTTACAAAGAGAGTACCTCAAAACAGCACAGAGGCTTCAGGTAAGAAGAGTTATCATTTTTACAGCACTGTATAAAGGGGTGAAATGTGGCTCAGTCTTTTTCCTTTTAGATTTTTTATTATGGACATGTTCTTTTACAAAACAGCGTGCAGAGCGTTTGGCAGCTGTGCGGAAACATGTGAGGAGCCGGATCTCCAGGCAGGACCAGAGCGAGCTTGACGCTTCGTGTGCCACTGCCAGCCCCCTCTCAGTACCAAACACCAGCACTGTACCAGCCAAAGACTTACCTCAGACACAGGGGCCCACTGAGGGTAGGTCTTCCTTCATCGAAACACGTCTGTCTTGTAATGAGCATTGTAACGACAGTATTAACCTCAGAGTGGAAACAATGCACTCAACACTCGATCGCTAATATTGTTTCTGGACATGAAACATCAAATCTTGGTGTTTGTGTCTTGACGAGATGTAATGAACCCAAAATGGAAGTTATAAATCACACATAATCTGATTTTTGACCAGGTGCGGCAGATTCAGACGCATCCAGACAGAGCCAGGTGATCAGGTTCACGCTCTCCGCCGATGCCGCATGCCCCCAAACCCCCAAACCCGGCCACGATGGATCGGGTCACAGACCCAGTCCGGCCCTGCGCCTCAGGTCAAGACGCAGCCGCCTGCGCTGGGAGAGAAGAAGCGCTGAGGGGTGCATCAGGCAGAAAGACGGCGAACAGAGCGAAAGGCTGGAAAGTGGTACAACAGAAGAAGAACGCCAGCAAGGGCCAGTAGAGTCAACCAGAGAAGGTGTGGAGGATCAAAGTGGAGAGTTGTTTTCCTCTAATGAATCCGAGTCTCCCTCCATGCTGCTCACTCACTGGAACTCACAGGGACACACGAATAAAGCTGGAGCCGACAACGAAAGGGAGCTACAGGGACAACAGCGGCAGGGGGAGAACCAGACTCACCTGCAAGGGGAAGGAAAAGACTCCAAAATGGCTTTCACCACGGAGGAAGACGGACAAATTGTCACACACGATAGAAATGAAGGGATGGAGAAAATAGGCGGGGATAGTGCCGGGATCAAAGATCTGGAAGAGACAGATGAATGTAAAGAGAACAGTATCAAAGACGCGGAGCTTAAGGCAACTGAGTCAGCAGAAGGAGACAAAAACCACGACGAAGCTGCGGGAAAAAAGGGTGAAAACAGTCAGATGACTGAAGGTGAAAGAGCAGAGAGCCTCCTAGACTCTTGTACGTTGGTAGAGGGGCTGCTGTTCCCAGTGGAGTACTATGTACGAACCACCAGACGTATGACACTGTCCCGCAGCCAGCCCGACTTAAGGGCCGTCATCCTGTCCCAGTTGAATGTGGGGCGTCAACGCAAGAGTCGGGCTCGTGGCAAAGGAGTGAACAGGGGAGCGCTCTCCGGTCAGCGCTCAGATCAGCACCCTCAGGCAGACTTCTCCTCTCCCACAACGGCACCCTCATCTCCAGATCCCAGACAGATCTCGAATCCAGTCACAGCTTGCCAGATGGACTCGCCTGCTCGCTCTCCACCCGTTCTCACCCCTGCTCCGTCAGCAAGAGGCAAGAGGAGGAGCAGAGGCAAGGGGAGAGGTAGATCTCAAAGCTCAGGAGATAGCCAACCCCCCAGCACCCCGCCGCCCTCCTCCACGTGTTGTTATAGTGAAGAAGTAGCAAACCCTGGCCCCATGCCCCAAGCAAACCCTCCGCGTGCTGTTGTAGAACCGGAGGAGACCCAGACTGCAACCGTCCACAGCACCGATTCTCAGCCATCCTCTGGAATTAATGGCGATCCATCCAGTTCTGCCTCTCAGCGTCCGGAGAAGGTCTATCCTCTCTTTCTGAAGAGCCGCGTCGAAGCCACCAAACCTGTCCAGCTGGACAGAGGTAAGACTTACCAAATGTGTAAGAAACTGATGTAGAAGTTTTATATTTGGATCTTAAAGGGAAATTATATTGTTCATACAGTTTAAAAAAGAAACTTATTTGTAGAATTTGTGACTAGTCACCACTCTTTTGGCTAACTTGTTCATACAGTAGAGAATGTGTTTGTGTATAGATTTATTTACACTTAACATCATTTTCTTTTCTTTTTTCCCATTTGGTCCTAAAGGCTCTTCAAGCTGCAGTGCCCTCCTCTTGCCCTCTTCCTCCTCTCCGGCTCAGACATCTCTTCTTCCTCTCCCTTCCATGTTTTCTGGCAACAACTTGATGAATTTGGACTTGCAGCAGGACTTTCATCTTCCAGACGACCAGTTTGCCTCCCTGAAGCTGTGCAAGCTTCGCTGGGCCCTGGTGAAATCGGGGGTGGAAGGTTTTTCCACGCCGTCCCGCAACACGCGCAGCAGCACGCGGCGCTCCACCCCAAACCACAGCGGCGGCGATCACCCAACGTCTGTTCACGTCCCGCTCAGCCTCACGCCCACGCTCAGAAATTCCCCCCATTCGAGTGGAGAGCATCGGCCCGTAGATCTTCAGAACTTCTGTACGGAACACGAGCAGGCAGACGTCCACGCAGAGCGTCCCTTGAGCTCAGAATCTGTTTGTGTGGCAGAAGAGATAACTGCAGATCTTGACGATAAACAGGAAGGGCCTGAAACCGCGACCCCTCCCGCTCCCAACCGGAGCACATCTGTGTGTACTGACAACCCACAGCCTCAGCCCGGGGATGCAGTGGTGTGCAGAGGGGAGGAGTGTGTCCTGGGACAATCGGAGGAACTTAAAGCAGAGCAGACTGCTACCAGGAATCAAAGAGATTGTTGTGACGCGGTCCATTCTTTCAGGGATGAGGGCCATGGAAGCCTCCAGGTGGAAAACGGAGCCATCCCCTCGTCTCTTTCTTCTGATGAGGAAAAGGCAGAGGCTCCTGCTGGCAGCCGCCCTGCTTCACAGGCCTCCTGTGAAGCTGGACCTCCAGCAGAGGCTCCCGCGAATGCCACAAACGGAAAGCCTTCGTCACAGATTTCCAAAGTACAGATAGAGAATGAGACCAGGTGTCCATGGCGGCCCTCGGAGCTGTTGTTGAGTTCTCCTCTGGCTTCAGCACCCTGCCCCATGGTAACGCCCCACCTGCCCTCCTCCATGCTCACCTCCAGCCCAACACTGCCCTCCTTAGGACTCACCCCACAGCTGGTCATCCTCCCAGACTCCTCCCCCTCTGCCCCGTCCCTCACCCTGCCTCCTCCTCACAGCCCGTCCACACAGGCCCTTTCTCCTCCGGCTCTTTCTCCCTGTCCGTCAATCACCCACCTCCCCCCCAGCCTGCCTCCTCTGTCGCTCTTCACCGAGGCTCAGGCTCCATGCGAGCCGCCAACAATAAGCGATCGGTGCCAAGAAGTGGAACCGGCCAGCTGCCCGACCGCATTCAGCTTCCAGCCGCAGAGCTCGGCCGGGCCGGTCAGCCAGACGCCAGGACACGCCGCCGAGAAACAAACCGTGAAACGCACGCACACACTGAAGGTATGACAAAAATAATCTGCAGTGTGTGGATGAAAGGTGCCGAATTATGGTGCTATAGGGAGTCGTTCTGTGTGCGTTTTCAGGCTGCAGCAGGAGGTGCTCTGGTGGACGCGTGCTGCGTTGTCGGGTCCTCACTGGGTTTGTGTGTGGCCGCAGCGGGAAAGTGGGCCGTGTGCCTCTGGACCCAGACTCCAGGATCGGACTGGAGCTTAACGCATACCTGGACGTTCAGCGAGGTGAGCTGCCTCGCTGTCTCCGCCTCCCAAAGGTTTCAAAGGAAAGCCGTCAGAGCCACAGAAAATAAGACCTGCATGACTTGCAGCTGTAAAAAAAGGAAAATGTCTGTTTTATTTCCGAAACGAAAGGCTCAGAAACTGATCTGTCTGCTGTTACACGCAGTTTGCTGTAAAGACGAGTAGACGTTGCCCTTTTTTTTGTCAGTATTTTAAAAAAATTAAATTACACATAGTTCCATCCCTTCAGAAGCATCCCTTCAGTTCTGACATGGAAAATTACACATTCGGCATCCCGGCTGAATAGATTAAATATTGATCCTTCGGCTTATTTTCAGGATCGGGAATCTGTTTGCAGGTTTAGTGCACTGCAATTATCTTTACGGTTTATATAAAAGATTTTGTGTTAACAATCACAGTGATTGAGAGAGATATAAATCTGCTTTTTTACTTGTTTTTTGTCTTTGTTTACAGCCCGTTATCAGTGTATTTCCTGTACCAGATGCTGCCGGGCTAATGTGCGTGACTTTAGGTCAGTTGGAGATCAGGGAGGTGAGGTGAGTGCACCACCTGCTCTGGGGGTCTTCTCTGTGCACAAGCATGTTAGAAATCAGCACACATAACAAACCGGAAGGATCGGTTTCATCTGGTTGATCAAACCCAGTCTCACCAGTATGGCTTCCAGAGCCGTGACTGCTCCTGCATGAGACCGTAAATTAAAGAGTGTCGTCCTCCCGCACAGAGTGTTGTCCTGCTCCAGCCTCACGCAGAAGCTGGTATGCGAGGGGGTCATCCAGGCCGTCGCGGGGGTCTCGGCCTCCAGGGTGGTCACCTCCTCCCACTCGGCCTCGGGCTCCACCCTGCAGGTGTTAACGCTGTCAGACAGCAGCAGGTAAGACGCAGCATTTTCATATTCTCGCGCGATGTGTCCCTGCTCCGATGCACGGGTGCTCCATGTCTCCCTTCTGTGCCAGCTCACCCGCCTGCCAGCCTCTGGCGTCCCCCGGCGTGGGCGTCGGGGCCCTCGCTCCCGTGGAAGGACTCTCCGACGCTCTGATTGGCACAGATGAAGGCGGACACCTGTTCGTCTGGTAAGGGGGATCAAGGGGGGACGCCTGGTTACACCAGATGACCAGTTCTAAAATCAACCCTGTCCCGTCCGCCCGCGCGTGTTTTACAGGAATTTAAAGACGGGACTGCTCCTGTGCAGAGTCCGGCTCGGGGAGAGTTTGTCACACACAGCCTGCCTCAGAGGATACTCCTACTGTGTAAGTAGCCACTCACAGTCAGGTCACTGTGATGCTGCAACACTAGCTTATATATTTCTCCTTCTCTTGTGTTTTTGGGTGCGCAGGGAGTATTGTTAGTCCTGCTGCAACATCATTTTCTGAGCTCCATGGAAGAGGAAAACGAGAAGGAAGTGAAAATAAGAGATCTCTCAGAGGAGGGGACAAAAACTGCCTTTTTCTCCTTGGTCGGCATCAACCCTCTGAGCGGGAAGTCCGTCCTGGCATCTCGACTGTATCCCCCAGAAGCCTGGTCGGGCAGGTGAGAAGCAGGCCGGCGGAGGGAAGGCTGGTGTTGGTAGATTTCCTAACGCTATCACGTCCTCCTTTGTGCTCCACAGGCTGTGTGAAGCCGACGTGAACCACTCCAGCGTAGTGGGTCTGAGTCAGAGCGGCTGCGTGTGCGTGTGGGAGCTGGGGCAGCGGGGGGGCTCGCGGCTGCTGGAGGCTCCAGAGGGGGAGGACTGGCAGCTGGCACGGTGGGGGGGCGGGGACGTGCTGGTGATCGGACACCATAACGGAGACATCTCTCTACACTCTTACAGTGCGAGTCGGAGCTCACTCTGAAAAGACGGCATTCAGATGCCCTGGTGCCCAACGGCAAAAACACAAACAAAAACATCTCATCTGAGCTCCGTTTAGTTTAATCTTCATTCGATATTTTTGCTTTGGTTTCATGCTTTCAGCTACTGCACTGCAGCCAAAGCATTCATTTTACACTGTAAACTGAACACAACCAATAAGCCAGTGGCCACAATGAAAAGACTGAATTGTTAAAGTTGTCCTGCTTTCTTCCAGAATTTGGGATATATTTTTATTCTTGCTACATATCCCACACTAAACCACTTTAAAGCAAGACCTTTGTTTTAGACCACTGTACATAATTTTTTACTGCTGCTGCTCATTCCATTTTTTTTGTACAAAAGCATGTTATATTTAAAGAAAAAAGGTTTGTTGTAAAATTTCTATTAAACTTTTGTAAAGTCATCGTTTTGTTTTTTTCCCTTTATTTTAATACTGCTTTGGCTACTTTTAGTATAAAATGGAGTACAAGCCCACTTGGTAAACCCTTTTTTTATTTTTATTAAAGGACAGAAACAAACCTTCCGATGTCATCACCCAAACAGAATGTTCCGGTCTGCATTTATTTATAGCTACCACTTGGTGGTACTCAGTATGTGGAGGTAGGTTTTGTCATGATTACAGGATTTGATATAGTAAATCAGCTCTGCTGTTAAGGTTTTTTTTTTCTTCCTTTTTTTCTTTTTAAAGCTTTAATTTTCACAGAATGTAATAATCCTTTATGCTACTGATAAATCCTAACATTGGGTTGTGGCTAAACATTTTTGTAACTTTAGCAAGGCACTACTAATAGTTTGCCAGATCTGCTGTGTGTTTAATGTTTTAAATGTTTTTATCCCATGTAGTGATCAGAGGGGGAATCAGTGGGTTTACATACCATGTTGAAGTTAGATTCTTGGTCCTCAAGAAAAAGCTAAATACAAAAATCCCCTTAGGAATAATTGGCCTGGTTCAAGAGAATCTTTATTTAAACTTGGATAAAGTTAAACCCTTTTTACAACATGTACGTATATTCAGCAGTCTGTACAAGTTTGTACATCTTGTTGAAACCAACATCTGAATTTGTTATTAAAAAAAGAAACGAGTAAAAACTACAGGAAGAATGTACATGATGAAGACGTCAACATGGTCCGTTTCTCTACACACAGACGGAAACAGAAAACCAGAGAAGCAGACCAGAGAGGCGTTCGGAGTCTCACTCCCCACCATCGGGCTCCGTCCACACACACACACACACACACAAACAGACAAACACATTTAAAGGCACGGCACGTGCACAAATAAACAGAGTGGAGGAAAACGTCCAAACTTTCAGATGATGTATTGGAACCAATCTTCCATCTGTGCTTCCGAGGCTAATTTGAACGTATGAGATCTGCCTGCTGTGCCGTCAGCAATTCGATAGTAAAAGTCAGAGGGAATGTGTCTGTCTAAATAAAGCCTCACGGAAAAGTTAAGAGTCAGAGTGTACGGAAAGAAGGGAAGATTACAAAACAATAATATATCAGAGGCTGGAATTATGTTTCCATAAACAGCCAATGTTACCACCTCCTCCCTTTTTAAAATGCATTTAAAAGGTTTCGTGTTCAACGGTCGGTTTTTCTAGTGGGCGCTGGAGGAAGGCTTGCTGTCCAGCAGTTTCTCTACCATGAGCTTGGCGTAACGCATGCGGCTGGCGAGCTCCTTACAGCAACCGAACTCCTCCAGCAGAGACAGCTTGTAGGTGCGGAAGTCTCGCTTCTCGTCGATGTAGGTCACCGCGGCCATGAGAGGACACAGGATCAGCTTGGTGTGATCCTGGGAAACGGGAGGGAAATGAGAGGATGAGCCCTGAGCCGAGCGCGGGACAGGCCGGGCTGGCCTGGCCGGTGTCGGGGAAACCCTACCTGGAAGAAGTTGATCTGAACGGTGCCGTTGCTGAGGTGCAGGACGATGGCGCTCTTGGTCCGGAACCAGAGCGAGAGGTAGGGCAGCCGGGCCAGCTCGTCCCCGTCCCGCCGGGCCATGTTGGCGCCGGCTTTCAGGAGGTGCTCGCTCATGTAGTTGCGGAAGTACTTCAGCAGCGTAATCTGCAGGGTGAGAGGTGGGAGTAGGGTTCATGTACCGTCTCACGCAGCCAAATGTAACCAGTGGGTGAAAATGACAAGAAAAAAAAAAAGGGGGGATCCCTGAGGTTCCCCGCCTGACCTTCTTGTTGAGAGTGGCGGGGAAGGAGCGGACGCTCATGTAGGACTCGGCTGTGGCCTTGTCGATGTACTGCAGGCTGTCCCCGTCGGCGTACATGATGAGACGAGTGTAGTCGTTGAAAAGGACGCCCACACTGTTGTCACAGAGCTGGTAGCCTGAAAAGTCATTTAAAAAAAATAATAATAATTTTTCCTTTTAAATCGATTAATAGATAAACCACTGGAGCTAAAAGCCTGCATGTTAATTAAACCGTTTCTCCGGCCTTTATTCTCCCAAAAACAAACTTGGGCTAATTGATCAGATGGGTTTCTGCTGCTTTTCATTCAGCAACAAGTGAGAAACATTCGGGCTTTAATAAATTAAATGGCCATACACATTTAGTGCATCCATTTAAAAAAAAAGTAACAAATAGTTTGTGATGTAAAGTATATAAAGGCACAAAACCTGTGTCTAACACCTACCCAGTCCGTACTTATCCGAGTAGTCAACCCACTTGCTGATCCAGAAAATGGGGATGCACGCAGGATCCTCCGCTTCCTCTGAAAACGCACAGAGACAACAAAAGGTCCAAAATCATGGTCGAAAAGAAGCTCAGAAGGACTCAGTCCTGGGAGATCCCCCCCCTGCTCACCCTGACGTATGATGGGCTTCTCGGCGGGCTTGGCGGAGATTATGCTGTTGAGCTGCTGCAGCATGTCTTTCAGGTGGGATTCGGAAGGTTCGGGCTCCCTTTAAACATCAAATGTAAAGCAGAGCTTTCACATACAGGGCCCTTTTCGAAATTTCTCCTTCAACATGCAGTGGTGTAGATGGATTTTAGCTTAAAAGGCCTCACCTTTGCATCAGTTCATCCTTCATCTCCCCTTTCTCCGTTTCAGCTGAAAAACAAAAGCAGTCCCTGTCAACACTTTTACTTTCTTCCAATGTCCACTGTAAACAACATTTTGGTTCATTTCAAAGCCTCAAGAGAGAAACGGTTTCCGTTTACCCTTGTTGTTTATCGCGGTCAGGGGGCGCCTCTGGCTGATCTCCGGAGCGGTGGAGGGGGCGATGGAGAAGCGGGGGGGCACGGTCAGACAGGTGGTGGGCAGCCGTAGGGGGATGTAGCCCGAGGTGAAGAACTCGTCGGCCTGCAGCTCGGCCAGGGTGGGCCTCTGGGCGGGGTCGGCGTGCAGCATCCTCTTGATGAGCGCGGACGCCGAAGGGTTGATGTGCTGCACGGAGTTCAGAGCACGTGAGCCACCACTTTTTTTTTTTTGCAATACGTCCAAACATTTTAACTTTGCGCGTGCAAATGATCTTACCCAGGGGATTGTGTAGTTGTTTTTCTTGATGCGGTTGTAGGTTTCCTTCAGGCAGGAGGTCTCAAACGGGGGCTTCCCCACCAGCAGAGTGTACCTGAGAGAGCGGACAAGGAGAGGCTTTACAGCACCGAATCACGTGGAATACTGTCATTTCCCACATGCGTTTGGTTGTCTAACACTCACAGTATGCATCCCAGTGACCAGACATCCACCTCGTAGCTGTGGCCTTTTTTACAGAGCACTTCGGGAGCGATGTAGTTGGGTGTTCCACACAAAGTCTTCTTCCGTTCGCCGTCAAACTCAATCTTGGTGGCCAAACCGAAGTCCCCTGAAAAAGAGGCAAAGGCAGTTTTGTTAGGTTCATGGTTCATCCTGAAAGCGGATATGACCACTAAATCCAACGAGTTAGTTAGTACGTGCAGCTGTGTGCGACTTTATTTCACTAAACAGGGATCTGGCACAACTAAGGAAGGAAAAGGCACTTCCATTCTTAACCAGTTACCTATTTTGACATCCATCTCATCGTTAAGGAAGATGTTGCCCAGCTTCAGGTCTCGGTGGATGACTCTGTTGTTGTGCAGGTACTGGACCCCCTTTAGCAGCTGGGTCATGTAGTAGCGAGCCTCGGGTTCAGTCACAGCCTTGCGACGTTTGTGCAGCTCCAGAAGGGACTAGAATCAGGGAAGAACGTCCAATTAGCGGGCACAGCCGCAAGGAAAGGAAAGGGGCATCTGTGAAAATGAATAACTGACACTAAACCCTTGAGATCTGATGCTGTGGGACTCTAAAAGTGTCCCTTTGGTAGTTATAAAGCCAGCTGGTGTACTATAGGGAAGCACTCCTGAATAGTCTGGAGAATGGATACCAAAAGGAAATACCAGAATTTAAATTTTATGGTGAATTGAGAAAACAAATGTCATTCATTAATGTTTTTTTCCCCCAATGATAGAGATACATCTAGGCATATCAAAGTGGACAGGCTGTTCTTCTTAAGCCTCCCACCACTGGGGCAGGGTGTGTGACAACGGTAGAGGCCGCTAACCGTTGGTCCTCCATCATGTGTCGACTGGAAACAAAATGTCTTTCCAGTCCAAACTCACCCGTCTCCTGCAGATCTCCAGGACCACAAAGACAAAGTCGTCGTCCTCGAAAAACCCGTGGAATCCCACCACGTTCGCATGATTAAGACTCTTGTGAATGGCAATTTCGGAAGTCATCTTTTCCCTCTGGTGCTGCTTCAGGATCAGGGATTTAGGCACAATTTTGCCAGCGAAAACCTGCTTGGTCTCCACGTCTGTGATTTCGTAGCACTTCGCGAAACCACCTTTTCCGAGGAATCTTCCCCTAGTGTATCTTCTCATCGTGCGTGGATCTACCAGAATGTCAGGGATTTCTTTCAGAGGTGCAGATTTAGGGTCCACATGTCCCGACGGATTCGCCGGTTTTGCGATAGCAGCACTCATGGTGGATTAAAGTGCTCCTCGGTGTGTTAACAGAAAACACTTAAAACTCCGCCAACACTGGAATTCACGATGATAAATACCAGAGTCAAACTATTGTTAACCCCAACTCAACCGACGCTGGATTACCCTTGGAAACTAGCTTACTCTCATACGCCTCGGAATTTAAATCAAAACTAAGCTTAACACTCTTTGTAAATAAGAGTTAATTAACATTTGACTCAAATGTATAATGCATAGGGCTTTCGATATTTAAAAAAAACAAAAACCCTGAGGCAGATTTAAAATAATTCGGCAGACTTCCTTCCCGGTGGTTGCTGCGCTGTCCTATCCTGCCTTTTGACAACAGTCTCCGATATAAGTTTAAAATGCTGCCTCGCTCGTTACGGCGCTCGCTGATTGGTCCGCTCGATTTGAATTCCAAGGCGTCCCAGCAAAGCATCGTGGGAAGTAGAATGCAAAAGAGCCAATCACTGGAGGAGGATGTCAAATCTCGTACTATGATTGGTTTAGGGGCAATTGGAGGTTTGCTCCTGTTTCCTTCAGCAAGTGGTCACGGGAAATGTAGTCAGAGGGGATTTAATCTGAATATGTTTTGAATTATTTCCTTATTTAATGAACGAAAGGAGTTTTTTAGAGGTAACAAATAAACGTTGTTACGTAGTTTAAAATATTTGCCTGGCGTTCTTTTGGGGGTGAAAATGACATGGTTCAGACAGATACATAGAAGACAGACATAATAGAGAGTCAAAAGTGAAAACAACCCACTCTGAGTTGCAGTTGCACTGCACGAAAAATAGAAGGGTCGTGAAAACATGAAAGGGTCAAGCTAATTTCATGGATAAATGTCTTTAGAGACCACTGTTGCAGTTTCCACTTAAATGTGTTTTGTTTTATTTTTGCAAATGGGCAAAACAATAGGGAGTAAACATAACCGATCAGGAAGTTGTAGAACGACTGTTGCAAAACATCTAAGAGGATATGTGAAGGACTGTCCATTGTTGCTTCAAGGCTGCCAGTTTTAAGTTACCTGTTGAAATATACTACAAGGAAGAAAAACACACTCCAGGGACCTTTCTTTTAAAAAAAAAAGGTTAGATAATAGGTGTGTTAAGAATTCTTGTTGATGTTTGGTGCATACACTGTCACACAACCCATAATTGTGATACATAGTATCATCAAGTCTTTATTTTTTGCTCTTGCTACTAGTTAATAGCTGACAGTATGCATGTATATCGTGAAAAAGGAAAGATCTGTTTTTATCACGGGGCATCCCCCATGC